AGTGGCTACCTTCCTGAGCAATGCAGGTTTAACAGTTGTTTGAAATTTGCTGAAACGTCCTTTCTGGCCTAGTAAGTGGTCAGTTCCATATGAGCTGGAAAATAATTATGTACTTTCCTACTAATTGTGTACAAAATTCTATACATGAACCTTAAAATAAATATTCTGTAACTTTACTGAATTACTTCTCTGTTTGACCCTGAGTTACTACATTATATAACTATAGGAAAGCCATTCAAATAACAGTCCGGAGTTGTGCGGTTTATATTTCAATTGCCGTAGTGGTGGTCTTTGATTTACTTATCTATAACTGAGGAAGCCATGGTGAATTCTGCCACTAGTGTGTGGATTTGACCATTTTTTTTTACAGTTGTATCAACTTTTGCTTTATATACATTATTTAGAGGCTATTTTTATAGGTGCATGCAATTTTAGAATATTCATAGTAAATTAAACCTATTCTCGTTATCAGCATAATGAAATTTGTTCCTAAAGCCTACTTTACCTGATATTAATATAGTTACACACTTCCTTTTCTTGAATATATTCCTATTATATCTCTTCCAAACTTTTCTTGTCAATTTTTCTGTGTCCTTGAGTCTTAGGAATGTCTCTTATGAAGAGCATATCACTAGAGTTTGTTTGTTTGTTTGTTTGTTTGTATCAAGTCTGTTTCTCTCTTAACTCATGAGTTTAGTTTGTCATTATTGTGATCTTTAAGCTTTCTATTTTTCTCTCTTTTTCTGCACCGTTTTCTTCTTTTGGACTTTTTTGCAGGGAGGATTATTGGATTTCTGTTTATTAGTGCATTTTTTCACTAGTAGTATATTTTATTTTTATTCTTTTAGTGGTTACTCTTGAAATTTTACCATGCATATTTAATTAAATCTGAAAGTAAAATCTGAAACTCCTCTCAATAATGCAAGGACCAAAGAACACCTGAGCTCTGGTAAACTGCCCTCCTTACATACATTCTATACTTCTGTCCAATGCTAGTTGTTTCTTTTTGTTAGCCTCGCTAATTACACATGGATACAGTTATTTTATACAGACAATATTTGTTTATAGTTACCTACATGCAGAGCTAGCGAAAATTCTGGAAAAGGAAGTCTGGGAATTTTATTTTTTTCAATCAATTTCCCTTTCATAACATCCATATCTGGATTATCAAATCAAATGTGTCTTCTTATGTTTGTGTCATTAAAATTTTCTAGCCTAGAAGTGTAAAGCACTATTTTTATTATAGGAAAAATGTTTACCAATATTATGAAAGTAAGATTAGAATAGAGATCAAAAGATTGAGTCTATCACAAAACTGTAGGTGGGAGATAAAGCCAAGAAACTTAGCAAAGTTTTTGGTAGTAGGAAAGGAGGAGATCATTTGAGAGACACTGAAGAAACAGACTGTATGGAACTTGCTATTGTCTGGTTGTGGTAGAACCGGGAAAAAGAAGCATCAGAAATGATTCAGGAATTTTAAGCCAAGGGTTTCATCCTTGAGGGTTTTCAGAAGTTAAGAGGAAAAGGAAGATTGCAGGAGATGATGATTAATTGGTTTTTGATGTGTAGAATCTTTGTTGATGAACCATTAGGGTGAAGATGTCCAACAGGCAGTTATAAATGAAAATCACAAGTTTGAGAAAAGGTCTATATGCCTGTTCTTGCACCAATACCAGACTGTTTTGATTATTGTAACCTTATAGAAGAGTTTAAAATCTGGAAATGTGATACCTCCCACTTTTCTTTTGCTAAGGATTGTTTTGGCTATTGTGGTCTTTTGTGTTTCCATAGAATTTCTGTATTGTCATTTTCAGGTCTGAGAAGAATGATGTTGGTAATTTAATGGGTATTGCATTAAATCTGTATGTTGTCTTTGGTAGGATGGACATCTTAACAATGACAATTCTCCCAATCCATGAGCATGGAATATTTTTCCATTTTTGTGTGTGTCTTCTTTGATTTCTTTGAGCATTTTTTGTAGTTTTTGTTGTAAAGATCCTTCACTTCTCTGGTTAGGAAGATGCCAAGGTATTTCATTTTTTTGTGGCTATTGTGAATGGGATTGTGCTTTTTATTTGGTTCTCTTTCTATTTGTTGTTGGTGTATAAGAATGTGACTGTCTTTTGCACATTTATTTTGTACCCTGAGACTTTGCCAAAGTCCTTTATCAGTGCAAGGTTTTTGACAGAATCTCTTGGATTTTCAAGGTATAGAATCATATCATCAGCAAAGAAGGATAACTTAACTTCCTCTTTACCTATTTGAATACCCCTAATTTCCTTCTCTTGTCTGATTGCTCTAACTAGGACTTCCAACACTATGTTGTACAGAAGGGGTGAGAGTGGGCAGCCTTGTCTTGTTCCAGTTTTCAGGGGAAATGCTTCCAATTTCTGTCTGTTTAGCACTATGTTGGCTATGGGCTTATCATAGATCGCTCTTACTATTTTGAGGTATGTTCCTTCTATGCCTAGGTGTTCAAGGGTTTTTATCAAGAAGCGATGCTGAATTTTATCAAAAGCTTTTTCTGCATCTAATGATGTAATCATGTGGTTCTGGTTTTTACATCTGTTGATGTATTTAATTACATTTATGATCTTGCAGATGTTGAACCAGCTCTGCATCCCAGGGATGAAGCCTACTTGGTCATGGTGGGTGATTTTTGAAATGTGTTGTTGGATCTGAACAGGCATATAGACCAATGGAACAGGATAGAGATTGCAGAAGCAAAACCTCAATTTCTCAACCAACTCATCTTTGACAAAGCCTCTACCAACAACCACTGGGGAGAGGAGAACCTATTCAGTAAGTGGTGCTGGGAAAACTGGCTGACCACATGCAGAAGATTGAAACAGGACCCCTACCTATCACCACAGACAAAAATGAATCAAAGACCTAAATGTAAAACCTCAAACTATAAGAATCCTAGAAAATGCAGGAGATACCCTTACAGAAATCGGAATAGACAACCAATTCCTGATCAAAACCCCAGATGCCCATGCCAAAAGCGATAAGATAGACAAGTGGAACCTCATCAAGCTGAAAACCTTCTGCAAAGCAAAAGGAACCACCAAGAGAGCAAGGTGACAGTTCACAGAATGGGAAAAAATATTTGTCAACTGTATGTCTGACAAAGGCCTAACATCTAAGATCTATAAGGAACTCAAAGTGCCAAAAAGAAAAAAACAAACAGTCCCATTACAAAGTAGGCAAAACATATGAATAGATGCTTCTCAAAAGAAAACATACAAGCAGCCAACAGATACATGAAAAAATGCTCAATCTCACTAGTCATCAAAGAAATGCAAATTAAAACCACTCTGAGATATCACCTTACTCCAGTCAGGATGACCATCATCAATAACTCAAAAAACAGGTGCTGGAGAGGATGCGGCAAAAAGGGAACACTTCTACACTGTTGGTGGGAGAGTAAACTAATACAACCTCTGTGGAAAACAGTGTGGGGATTCCTAAAAGATCTAAAAATCGACCTTCCATATGACCCAGCAATCTCCCTTTGGGGAATATACCCAGAAGAACTCAAATCACTTTATAGAAAACATACCTGCATACATATTTTTATTGCAGCATTATCTACAATAGCAAAAGTAGGGAACCAACTGTGCTGCCCATCGAAAGTGAACTGGATTTTTAAAAATGTGGTACATATGCACAATGAAATATTATGCAGCCATAAAAAGGACAAAATTATTAACTTTGCAACAACTTGGACTGATTTAGAGTCTATATTACTCAGTGATCTATCACAGAAACAAAGATCTGAGTACTAAGTGTACTCACTTAAAAGCAGACCTTGAACATTTACCATAATACTATAAAAAAGGATTGGCAGGGGGTGGGATTGGCAATAGTGGGAAACTGCTGGGGGGGCATACCTCATCAACAAGGGTACCTACATAATGAACATTTATATACCGAACTCTGAATATTCCCCATCTTTAAAACTACAAATTTTTTAAAAAAGGGATTAGCAGTAGTGGGTCACTGCCAGGGGGTGGGGAGGGAGCACATCCATAGGGGTACCTAATCTCAAGTCAGGCGAAGTGGGGACCAAAGAAAGGCCCAAACTTTACCTGTATGATGACCACTTATGTACCTAACCTTGAATTGTACCCCACTTCTTAAAAATTAAAAAAATAAATAAATAAAAATATTTATTAAAAAAAGCAAGTTTGAGAAAAGGGGTCAAAGCTGAAAGGAAGGGAGTAATGATGGAAACCAAAAAAGATTGGAAGAAGCAATAAGCAATAGAGAAGAATCACATACATAGAAAATGAGAGTCATGCTGATTATGGCAGGGAAGAAACCCTGATCAACAAGCATGCTTTTGCCACTACCTATTCTAAGTCTTAATTTCAGTGCCCCTGTGAAATTTTCTCATGAATCTCCTGCCACCCTTACTTCCACCCACAGGATCAGAAACTAACCGTTAAGATCCACTTATGTGGACTAACATGTGAAAGTGCTCTTTATGCTTTCTTTTCTAATTTATAATATGTTTTGTACTATATTACATTCCTGACATCACATATCTCACTACTTAATTCAGTTTGTTCCTATCAGCATTTGAGATAAATAAAAGTAGATTTCACAGGAACTGCTAGCATGTATTGACTTTATGGCTTATTCCAACACAATTTCTTCTTTTTAAGAAACAATATGTCTGGTGCTAGAATTTAGTAATAAACTCTTTGAACCACAATTTATGACATTTTGTTATATTTGTGACTCTATATATGTTGTCAGTATTTCATGCAAAAATAACAGCTTATTACTTATTAAGCAAAAATTAAGCCTGGGAAAATACCATATATGCAGTATTTCTAAATTACTGTTAACTGTCAAAATGGTATATAATATCAATATTTATATGCTAAAGAGAATAAACAGAATTGTGAAGTAATATCCTCTGAGCCAGGAACTACAATGTAGGAATTGTGTTGGGGTGATCTTGACTCATTTGTCAAGTTTATGTTTTTCAGGGAATTGATGCTGATTTCACATCAGAAAAGCATCGAGCAGCTGCAGGAGACCCTTAGAGAGAAGCTGCTGAGTGATGATAACTGGAAGGAGAAGGTAATGGTAGTGAAGCTTTCATATCATGTGTCCTATCTGCTCTGTAAAAAGCCTGTCCTTTTGCCAGAAGACTATTTCAGATAGATTTTTTTTCTAATTTTTTATTTTAAAGATGTGGGGTACAATTCAGGGTTAATTGTTCATTATGCAGGTACCTTTGTTGATGAGGTGTGTCCCCCACTCCCGCAGTAGATTCTCATTACTGCCAATCCTGCTGCCCCACCCCCAGGCAGTTTTCCACTACTGCCAATCCTTTTCTTAAAGCATTACAATAACTGATCAAGGTCCGCTTATGAGTGAGAACATGTGATGCTCAGTTCTTTGTTTCTATGATAGATCACTCAGTATTATAGACTCTAAGTCCGTCCAAGTTGCTGTGAAGTTCCATTGTGTATATGTACCAAATTTTTTTTTTTTTTTTAAGTTGGAGTCTCACTATGTCACTCAGACTGTAGTGCAATGGCACGCACCTAGCCACCACAGCCTCAATCTGCTGGGCTCCCACGATCCTTCCACCTCAGCCTTTCAAGTAGCTGGAACCACAGGCACATGCTACCGTACCCGGCTAATTTTTGATTTATTGTAGAGACGAGGTCTTGCCAAGTTGCCCGGGTGGGTCTTGAACCCGCGTTCTCAGGTAATCCATTCGCCTCAGACTCCCAAAGTGCTAGGATTACAGGCTGAGCCACCGAGTCCGGCCTCAAATTTTTTGATACAGTCCTCTTTTCAATGGGCAGCATGGTTGGTTCCATGTTTTTGCTACTGTGAACAGTGCTGTGATAAACATACAGTGTGCAAGTATCTTTTTCTTTCTTTTTTTTTAAACATATTTTTTATTATAAAATTGTGGGGTACAGTTAAGGGTTAGGTACACAAATGTGCATCATTCAGGCACCCTTGTTAATAACGGGTGTCTAAGTATCTTTTTCATAGAGTGATTTGAGTTCCTCTGGGTAGATTCCCAGTAGGAGAATTGCAGGGTCATTTGGAAGGTCGATTTTTAAGAATTGCCAAACTATTTTCCACAGAGGTTGTATTAGTTTACACTCTCACCAACAGTGTAGAAGTGTTCCCTTTTTGCCGCATCCTCTCCAGCACCTGTTTTTTGAGTTATTGATGATGGTCATCCTGACTGGAGTAAGGTGATATCTCGGAGTGGTTTTAATTTGCATTTCTTTGATGATAGTGAGACTGAGCATTTTTTCATGTATCTGTTGGCTGCTTGAATGTCTTCTTTTGAGAGGCATCTATTCATATGTTTTGCCTACTTTGTAATGGGACTGTTTGTTTTTTTCTTTTTGGCACTTTGAGTTCCTTATAGATCCTAGATGTTAGGCCTTTGTCAGACATACAGTTGGCAAATATTGTTTCCTAGTCTATGGCTGTCTCCCTGCTCTCTTGATGGTTTCTTTCTTTTTTTTTTTTTTTTTTTTTGAGTTGGAGTCTTACTCTGTCACCCTGGCTGGAGTGCAGTGGCACACTCACGGTCACCCCAGCTTTGACCTGCTGGGCTCTGGGCGATCCTTCCACCTCAGCCTTCTAAGTAGCTGGAACTACAGGCATGTGCTACCACACTCAATTAAGTTTTGATTTATTGAGGGGTGATGTCTCACCAAGTTGCCTGGGCTGGTCTCAAACCCACTGGGCTCAGGCAATCCACTCACCTCAGCTTCCCAAAGTGTTGGGATTACAGGGAAAGCCACCAAGCCCAACCTCTCTTGATGGTTTCTTTGGCTTCGCAGAAGCTTGAAGAAGTTTGATGAGGTCTCACTTGTCTATCTTATCTCTTATGCCTGAACACTTGGGGATTTGATAAAAAATTGCTTGCCAGTTCCAATTTCCATAAGGGTGTCTCATGCATTTTCTAAGGTTCTTATAGTTTGAGGTTTTATGTTTAGGTCTTTGATGCATTTAGAGTTGATTTTTTAAAATATGATGATAGGTAGGGGTCTTGTTTTAATCTTCTGCATGTGGTCAGCCAGTTTTCCCAGCACCATTTATTGAATAGGTTCTCCTCTCTCCAGTGGTGGTTGTTGGAGGCTTTGTCAAAGATGAGTTGGTTGAGAAATTGAAGCTTTGCTTCCAATCTCTATACTGTTCCATTGGTCTGTATGCCTGTTCTTGTATTAATACCAGGATGTTTTGATTATTGCAGCCTTATATTAAACTTTGAAATCTGATCTTCCCCCCCTCCCCTTTTAACCTCTTCTTTAATTCTATTGTTCGGGAATAGGGGGGTAGCTTTTACTTCTGTTTGCTCAATCTACAATTCTTCCTTACATAGATCCTCTGGCTTTGTTCCTTTCTGAAGCTGGGCTGTGGGTTGGGGGGCTATGCTTTTTGCCATTTTGAGATTTGATTGAGTGGGAGCTGTGATTCAGAAACTATCTGCAGATCCCAGTATCCACTGACAGGTGTGTGGGCCCCCAGAAGACCACTTTCCACCACCTTACAGTCTGTTCATGCAGTGGGGGTATAGGTTTGTCCCCTGAAAGCAAAACGAGGTAAGAAAAAGGAAAAGAATGGAAAGAGGAAGGAGGGGGATGAGAGGAAGGTAGAGAGTGAGAAGAAGAGGGAAAACAGACAGGTATACCCACTGACAAATGAAAAGTGACACAAACAGAGACAGAAAAGATAAAAAAAAAAAAAACAGACAATCATACATACACACAAACTGGCAAAAACTCTCCTATTGATCTACTCTCCCACAAAAATACCCATACACAAACAGGAAGTCTTAAAAAAACAACATTTAAATAGCAGAAACAAAGCAAGTATGAAAATGTAATCAAAAACAGAAAGAAAGAGAAAAGAGGAAAAAAAACTAAAACAAACAGACAGAAAAAAACAAATAAAAACTCACTCTGAAGTCATTCCCGTAACTCCAACTTCCTTTCAGCTCTGGTCTCCAGCCCCTCCCCTCTGCTCTCAGTGCAGGCTGATAGGGTTGCTCTCAGCATTGATCGGATGCCCCAGGAACTACTGTGGGAGGAGGGTGGATCAGATCTGGCCTCATTCGGCTTGCTGCCACTACTGTCAAGTCTCCCACTGACATGTCTGTGCCTTTGCCAGTGTGGGGGAGGGCCATCTGTCTCTCCGCATTTGGTAACCTCTAGGTCCCAGCTTGGAGACTGAGTGGAGCTGGGCAGGGCGATACAGGTCTCTGCCTGGTCCCAGGACAGAGAAAATGGTGCTAGTCAGCATTTCCTCACTGGTGGCAGGGTTCCTTTCCAGCGTTCTCCTGCCCTCTCCATGGATCCAAGGGATCATGCTGCTCTGCTGTCACAGGTGATGGTGTAGGCGCTGGGCATCAGGTGGTGAGGATCAGCTGCTTTCCTCTGCCTTTTCTCAGGAGAACCCTGAGAACAGCAGACGATTCTGTCTGCCAATCCTGGGCACCGGGGTCTCCAATCTCAGGGCGGTGGGGGCTCGTAGTCACCTCCCAAGGAGAGCCCCGGGTGCATGCACCCGAGTCTCTCCCCTCAGACGGACTTTCACTCACCCACTGGCACATACCCACTCATGCAGAGAGTCTTTATGGATACTTACTTTTGCAGATACTCTCACAGTCTGACCTGTTCTGTCGTCATCTTGCCAGAGATCCCCCAGATAGATTTCTTTGCTTCCATGCACACTTTTGATCCCTTCTGGAATTTCCTAAACCAGACATGCTTATGAGATGTGTCTTTTCCAAAATATTAGACAACATAATAGGAAATTTAAAAAGTAAGAACAGATTTTAAAGTCTTGTTAAATTAAGATAGCCCTTGGTTCTCATGCAAAAACATAATTTTTACTTTTAGATATTTACTTTTTTTCCCTCATCAAATGTCAGAATCTGTATTTGGTCATGTTCTTTTTTTTTTAATTTTTTTTTTGAGTTGGAGTCTCACTCTGTCGCCCAGACTGGAATGCAGTGGCCGCTCCCGGCCACCGCAGCCTCGACCTGCTGGGCTCTGGCGATACTTCTGCCTCAGTCTTCCAAGTAGCTGGAACTACAGGCGTGAGCTACCACACCCGGCTGATTTTTGATTTATTGTAGAGATGAGGTCTCGCCAAGTTGCCCAGGCGGGTCTCAAACCCGCAGGCTCAGACAATCCACTCACCTCAGCCTCCCAAGGCGTGGGATTACAGGCTGAGCCACAGAGCCTGGCTGGTCATGTTCTTAACAGCAGGGGACTATTAATTCTACAACCTCCATAGTTTTCCAAGTTTCAACAGTGACTATGTGTTACTTTTATAATTTTAAATAATACAAGTAATATATTTAAATGGTTAGTCCCTACCCCTGCATGGTTAGGCCATGCAGCTCTAGTCATTGAGGCAATGGCCATCATCTCCCTGCCATACATTTCCAGCATCCTTGATTGATCCCCAGACAATAGTCTGCACATGGTATCAAAGCATTCCCAGTTCATTCTCTTCCCCAACTGTCTGTGCCTAGCACTGGCCTTCTGCCTTAGTTTTCTTATTATGTCTTACCTTTCCTCTCAAACTGGAGCTGGCCTCTGAAATTCAGGTTGTTTGACTAAAGTCCTGAAACCTATTTGGTTATTATCAGATTCTCCTCCTTTGGGTACTAGGTGCCATAATTTGTAACCTCAAGCAACAAGCAGTGGCCACCTTCAAACTAACACCTCCACCAGGAATCCTCCATTCTGCCATCCAGTAAATTGAAACCCTTTAGGTATTACTGCTGGCTCTGATCAATTCTAAATTTGTCACTTCCGTTTCCAGTCTTCAAACAGTTGGCCATGCTCAGCCAGTGCTAGCCCTCTAAAAATAAATATCTCTTTCTTTGTCCCTCAGGCTGTAATATGAGGGGGAACACCCAAAAAAATTGGAATTTATTTATAAAAATTGTGTATTTATTCTTATATGTTTAAACTTCAGTCACCTTCAAAGTACTCTCCATTTAATGCAATACACCTACCAAAATGCGTTTTCTTTTTTTTTTTTTTTCTTTTTTTGAGTTGGAGTCTCACTCTATTGCTCAGGCT